GGGAAATTAGGGTTATATATGGGGAAAAACCTAAAAGCAAAATAAAATCACCACGGCACATTTGGCTTATAAGTCGAACAATCACATAAGTTCTTTCTCTTTTGATAAATGCTCTGTAGAATCAGCTAAAATAATTTGACCTTCAAGATGTTTTGAGTAGTGCAGTAGTAGTTCCCTTCTTCTCATGGAATTATACCCACTTATTGGCCCAGATTCCACTTTTCATTTGTTACCTATATTATTTTCTCTTTTTGTCTGTCTATCTGTCTATCTGTCCGCCTGCCTGCCTGTCTGTCTGTCTCTATTTACTTATCTCTGGCAATGAGGATGAACATAGGGCCTCACCCAAGCCAGGAAAGTGCTGTACCACTGAGCTACATGTGCAGCTCTCTAGTTATCTTGAGATAAGTTCTTCAATTGTCCAGACTGCCCTCTATTTTGCTGTTCTCCTGCCTCAGCTTCCTGAGTAGCTGGGAATGCAGGTATGTGCCGCCTCATCTGGCTCCTTCCACCTTTCTAAGCGTCAAATATTCTTTTCTTCCTGAAGATATCAGCAGTTAATATTTAGGATAACAAAATGTTATTTCTGTGTGTGTGTGTGTGTGTGTGTGTGTATGTGTGTTAAGACAGGCTCTGCAGGGTCTACAGGGTCTCACTATGTAGACTGGATTCGTAGTGATTCTTCTGTGTGCAGCCTCCCAAGCACTGGCATTACAGGCGTGTGCCACCATGCCCAGTCTCAATTGCCATCTCAGTGCGCCCCAGGGTGGGGTTGGCTAGCTGGGGTTGGTGCTTTAATCTGCTACGCTATTTGGCCAGTCTTTCAAAAATTTTATGTCTTGGCTAGTTACCTAATTATTTTCAGCACATCCCAGGGCACTGCAAAGAAAATATTTATTCCATTTTGAAAATATAGTTACATGATTTTATTTTATTTTTTAGTTTTTAGTTTTAGAGATAAGGTCTTACTATGCAGTTCAACCTTGAATTCACTATGTAGCCCAGGCTGGCCTCTAACTTGTGGCAGTCTTCCTGCCTCAGCCTCCAAGTGCTGGGATTACAGATATGCACCACCATGTCCTGCTTTTAAAATTTCTTAAAATTTTATTATTTAGGCTATTGTTTTTCAAGACCAAACATGTGTTAGATTGTAAGGGAGGAGTATATTAGGAAAATTACGTATGCAACGGCATACACATAGTAACTAGTATTATTTGGTGTGTGGGCCCATTATAGCCGAGAAGGTGATAAACTTACTAAGACAAGGTGGCTTTTTAAGAGAAAGGTGAATGTTTTACATAAAAGATTAGGATTGATTTTTGTGTATTATTTTGTCTTAGAAAAAGAGAAGAGTTAGGTAGGAAAGTCAATTACCGCAGCCATTTTAAAGAAAAAGAATCTGAGGCAAAGGAGCCTTTTTGGCTGTCCAGGCTTGCATTTGATTACTTTGAGAGGAGAATAGCGTGCAGGTCTCCTAATTATCTGGCAGAGATGGTACCGTGACCTTGTCTTTGTGCTTCTGGGTCACAATCACGTATGGTCAGGGGAACCATGCCAAGGGGAAGCGTTTTCTTAAACTAAGAACCAGCCTTCTGCAAGATCTGAGGGAGAGGAAGCTTGAAAGCCACTTTTCCTAGAAATGAAAAATCACACTGTATTTTCACATAAACTTAATGATTTTTTAAATAAATGTAAAACATTTCCCAGGAGAGTGTTTCACCTTATTGCTTTATTACAGGACTATTATAAGAGTGATTGGCATCTAGTTTTGAATAGATGGATGAAAAGATAAATATTTAGATGAATTATGTGACAACTTTAAATCTACAATGGCTGTAGCTCTTTCTCTTAGATAGTAACAAAACCAATGAACTGTATGCCCTGTGAATCTGTAGTGCTTTAAATTTGAAAACCTATACTATTTTCTTAAATTGATTGAAAATTGCTAGAAGAAGGAAATTGTTTTTCTAGTACAGGTACACATTGAAATTTAGTAATTTATAAATTATTAATGTAAGGAAAATTATACAAAGTTAGTTTTCCTCTGTAGTACTGTTGCTTTCCCCAATAATGAAATTCCTTCTCTGTTTTTAGGTACTTGATACATACCAGTTGAAAATAAAAGTACAAGACATGGATGGCCAACATTTTGGTTTGCAGACGACTGCCACGTGTATCATAAACATTGGGGACGTGAATGACAACTTGCCAGCCTTTACCCGCACTTCTGTAAGTGTGTGATATTCACAACAGAGAACTGTAGAATCCAGTGTTCATGGTTACGTGTGCACGTCTCTATCTGTGCCTCAGAATTGCAAATGAAATGGACACAATGACATGATAGTGCTTTAGTGTTAAAATTTAAAATCCTGTGAACATGGTGTTTTGAAAATCGGAAGAACAGGGCTTATCTTGTATGGTGGTCTATATTCATGAGGGCTAATACAACTCTCCTTGTTTCTTTTTATCATTTTAGTATGTGACGTCAGTGGAAGAAAACACAGTTGATGTAGAAATCTTACGTGTTACTGTTCAGGATAAAGATTTAGCTAACACTGCTAATTGGAGAGCTAATTATACCATTTTAAAGGGCAATGAAAATGGACGTTTTAAAATTATAACTGATCCCCAAACCAATGAAGGAGTTCTATGCGTGATCAAGGTAAGAAGAAACTAGTGAATTTGTTACTTCTAATTTATAATGTAGTAGAATAACATACTAGAATTGAATGGCAGGGAAGAAATTCTGTCAAGTGTAAGGATACATTGGATTCATAGGTAGATAGAAATGGTATTTTTTCATTTATATAGTGGATTGAATATATTTAGTTTTCACTTTTAAAAGCATGATCTTTAAAAACTCAATCGTAAGTGTTCCGTTAACACGATATAGTATCTACCTTACAACTGATACTTTAACAGTTCAGAAACTAGCATGACTGATGCCAGTAGACCTGGCCAAACTTTCGTCAACTGTTCTTTTTGTTTCTGAGTCAGTGAGTCTCCTTATTTTTCAAATTTCCCAAAAGAGTTACTCTAGGTCAGACCCTTAGAGAAGTGGTATGTAGGTTTATGTGTGCAGTACATGGTATACCCTTAGAATCCAGACTCAGAAGGGAAATCCACTCAAACCACTAAAAGTGTTTATTTTACATCTGAGATCTTGCTTCTCATTCAGGAGCCAGAGAAGTACATAAAGCAATCTGAGCAGCTTTGACCCTGAATAGACATAAGTGTATTTCTGCTGTATCTTTAACTGGAACACAGCTGTATTGTGGGGCTGTGAATTTTGCCTTGTACCTGTTCTCAAGGAGCCTCGATTACACAGGATGAGTCCTTCTCTGCAAAATAATGAAAATTAGCTCAGTTCATGGGTTAACTTCTTTGTTTCAAAGAAGTGACCTTTAAGTCCTGTCCCTTCCTTTGGCTGTCGCCTTTCCCTAAGAGGAAAATTTATCTTTGTGAAATATAAAACCTAAAACAATGTTTTCTTTCATTCTCATTATGATAAAACAATCGAAACAAAACAAAACAAACAGGATACTTCCAGTTTATAAGAAAGGGACTGGAAGAGAAGTTAAAATAAGGAAAGGGTAATGACCATCAATTTTCTATTTTCTTATCTTTGCCTTCTTAACATTTTATAAAAATTTTCTACTGAAACTAGATAAAAATATCTTTTTTTTATCTCAAGAGTTTAAGATATGCTGTCCTAAAATTAATGGTTTAGTAATTAATTATTGGTTATGATATAAGTTCCCAAGATTACATCTGTTAAAATCTGAATACTGCAGCTTCATTAAGTTCCTCATGAAATTGTTATCGGTACCTATTATACTACTGGTGTTAAGTTTACAGTTGAACAAGAGATTTTGTTTTGTTTTTGCCAGTTCCACCAAAATTCTTAATCAATTGAAGGAGTCCCCTCTTTCGACCATGGTTTTTGACATACATTTAATATTCTCATGACCATTCTCGAAATAATAACGTACTTGCATAATTTCAAATTTAAGTTAAATGTCATAGTTATCATTGCCTACTGCTAAGTCATTCGATCTGATTTCCAACTTACTTCCTTTTGTAGCCACTGGATTATGAAGAAACACAACAGGTAACACTGGAAATCGGGGTAACTAATGAGGCGCCATATACCAGAGACCTTACTTCCCAACTAGTGACTAGCACAGCGACAGTTACAGTTATGGTGAAAAATCAGGATGAGGGTCCTGAGTGCAGACCTCCAACCCAGACTGTTCGTATTAAAGAAAATGCACCAGTGGGGACCCAGAGCGACGGCTACAAAGCATATGACCCAGAAACAAGAAGCAACAGTGGCATAAGGTGTGCAGAATTTGTTCGCTCCAAATTTATTGTCTTAAAGATGTATAGCTTTTTCTGGTATTCCTATTATGATTTGACTTTTATTATTTGTCATTTTAATTTCCCATTGTTAACAGGTACAGAAAATTAAGTGATCCCAGAGGGTGGGTCACTCTTGATGAAAATTCAGGATCGATCACACTTCTCCGAAATTTGGATAGAGAAGCAGACTCTATCCACAATGGCGTATACAGCATTACAGTCCTCGCGTCAGATCAAAGTAAGACATTTGTGAAGTCAGCTATGTTATCTTCAGCTACATGCATCCTCAGCTTTTAAATCAACAGTATGCTTTTTATTTATTTAATTATTGGGGGCCCGTGTGGGGAATCAAACCCACAATCTTGTGCATGCTAGGTAAGCACTCTGCCCCGGACTGAGCTGTATCCTCAGACCCAAAGTATCCATTTTTAAAATTGTTTCATAGGGGCTGGAAAGATAGCTCAGTAGAATAAGCACTTGCCTGGCAAGCGCAAGGGCCTGAGTTCAATCCCCGGTTCTGCCAAAATAAATAGAATTGATTCATATACTCACGCTTCTTATTTTTCCCCCAGAATGACATGTAGAGTAGTTGAGAGGTTTGCTCTCATTTACTTCCTGAGGTCTGCTTTTTATCTGATCTTTAGCGTTAGAAGTACTTACAATCTACTCAATGCACAATGGACCCTGTCGCATGTTAATGTTAAATAATCATTGAAGTTGAACAATTGTGTTAATAAAAGTAACTTCAACTTATCTACTTGTTTGCTTTACAAAATTTATTTCATCAGGAAAGTTCATTACAGGGAGATCATACTTATGTTAACATGGTGCATTTCTAGAAGGGAGTTGCAGTCTTTGATAGGAAACTAACGATACCTGTGAGACTAGAATTCAGATTAAGGACATTACTTAAAAGTAAATCACAGTCATGATTAACAGCAAATTATAAAATTAGACAACTAGGAATCCATGTACACATATGAAATACAAAATTATATTCCATGAATCCTATAAAATTGAAGGAAATATGAATATGATGATTTTATATAAGGCTTATCAGTCCATAAAATATGATTGTAGCATACCATACATTGAAAATAAAAATATTAACTATAATAGACATAAATAATGGTGCTTACAAAATTAGAGTTTAGAAGTGATTTAGGTATTCTAATTCTCTCTAAATTAATTCTAGAGTATTCCATGTAATTAATCTCTTGAAATATTCCTTCCCTGCTATCTTATCTATTTTCTTCTACAATTCCTGTTAGAGGAATACTGCTGTTTTATTTGTGCTGGAACTTAAGCTTCACTTTCACTCTTTTTTAATTAATTATCCTTCCTTACATCTTTGAAGATCCCCAAACTATGCCTGCTTCATGCGTATCCTGCATAGAATAAGTTAATCTCTTGACTGGGATTCGGTTGGCTTCCCTACATGTTGGTCTTTTGGAAACTTCACTAAACAGGCTTCTGTCAAATGCAGAGTGTTTGGTTCCCTTTCTGCTGTGCGGCTTTCCTCGTCTACTTCTCTACCCCAACTAGCCATCTTATGCTCCTTCTCTGTGGCCCGTGATTTGGACCTGGTTTGTAGCCTGGTGTCCTGGTGCTCCTGACCCAGGATGACACTCGAACTATCAAGGTCCAGTTGTTGTGTCACAGGCACCCTGGTTTGTTGAGGTTGTGACTGCAGGGCAGTGGATTACACTCTAAGCTCTCTTCTCTGGCTTTCAAAGAGCCCCTGCTCTTCTTTTTATTTATTGTCAGGTGCTCCTGCCTGCCTTCTTCATTACCCCAGATGGTGGCTATATAGAGCATCCTGTCTATCTCCTTGAATTTTTTTGAGGGTTTTTGTTGTTGTTCTTTTTTTTCTTTTCTTTTCTTTTCTTTTCTTTTCTTTTCTTTTCTTTTTTTTTTTGAGACAAGATCTTGCTGTGTAGTCCAGACAGGCCTTGAACTCACTATGTAGCCCAAGTGAGCCTCAAACTCACTGCAGTCCTCCTGCCTCAGCCTCCTGAGTGTCAGGATTACAGGTGTGTGCCATCACACCTGGTTCCTGTTTTAAATATGCTAAGAGCATCTTTCTTAGTAGTCATGTCTTTACTTCTCTTAAAAATCAATTACAACTCCCTTCTGTAAAAACTTCTATGTTTACTGAATTGATTTAATGAATGGATGAATACATCCAAATATTTTCTGTGCAGCCCATTTGAAAGTAACATTTTTCTCTCTAACTTTCTATAAGAGTATAGCATTTGGCTGTGCTTATTACTATAACTTACACATTCCAGTTCTTATTAAATAATAAAATTTTTCTAATGTCTAATTTCCTGGTGAAAAATCACAACATAAAAGATTTTTATTTGCATTTTTCTAGATGGAAAAAGTTGTACTGGAACCTTAGGAATTATCATCGAGGACGTGAATGATAACGGCCCATTCATACCTAGGACTGTAGTGACCATCTGTAAGCCCACCATGTTCTCCGCAGAGATTGTTGCTGTTGACCCAGATGAACCCATAAATGGCCCACCATTTGACTTTAGTTTGGAAAGTTCTGATTCAGAAGTACAGAGACTGTGGAGACTGACAAGAATTAATGGTATATGTTTTAAAACATTGCTTTGGTTTTGTTTTCAACATCAAGATATCTAAAACACTTGTTTTTGGTGAAATAAAAGAATAACTCACCATGTGGGAACCACTAATGTAGAAGGCACGTTTCCTGGAGTCAGTGGGTGGGAAGTGGGTGTCTCTAGGGTCTGCCTGCAGTCCTGTGCCCAGGCTCCTGGAGATGTTTTGTGAACTCTCATCTCCATTTTAACCCCATCCACATAGAATCTTTACATGGTAACAGTGTCCTAGATCCTAAGCACAATGGTCACTGGTTCGTTCCCTAAGCAGGAGACTGAGAAGACTCTCAGAAAGAATGTTCACTGAGGAGTTTGCTTGGGATCAATAGCTGTGCAAGGAAACAAAGCAGACTGGGGGGAAGGAAAAGGCAGGCTGAGACTCAGGCTGGACGGGATAGCCTGGGGAGTCTGAGCAAGGGGCTTTCTAGTATCTTCCTGCGTCCATTCCTTGTTCTGTCTCATTGCTCACTGAGTGGTGTGGGCATCCCAGAGGGGCATAAGTGTGGGCAGGTAGATACATGTGGGGAAGGTGCTGGTTGCCTGCCCAGCAGCTGGGACAGGAAGTCCTTTGGTGCAGGAGGATCTGATGCCCACAAGGGGTGTTCACCACGTCATGCTTCTTTCTGCCCCTGCCATGGCTTATGATTATTTTCTGCCTGTTCTGTTCGTCGTGGGCTTTTCTCCCGACTTGGTTCCTAGTCTGCACTTTTCACGTTAGTCAAGATCAGTGGTGATGAGCGAGGTGGCAGTGAGGGTGACGTCCCTGCATTTCCACATCTACATCACCTCCTCTGTCAGATCTCTCTTCTTCAGCACAGTCCTTCAGTGTTTTGTAATCCTGGGTTTTCAGTGAATGTGTTTTGCTTCTTTTTATGAGAAATGAAGAAAGAAAAGTTGTGAAAGAATGTGACACGTGGGTGCAATGGGACAAAAAGAACTGAGGACATGTAGAAAGAAGTTAAGGTGCTGTGTTATGAAGCCCGTTTTGTGAGCTGCTGAGAGTTTGGGATTTCTTAAAAACAGTATTCTGATTGTGCATGTCACAGTGTAGGGTTCAACTGTTCTTTCATTTTGTCTCTTCTACTTCTTTGATATTAAAATGTCATTTTGTTTTAAATACAGTTCATAGGACATGGTAATTTTTAAAAAAAATTCTGGTCCAGCAAAGTAAAACTTTGGCAGCAGCATGTTTGTCAGATCTTTATTTCTTTGTTTTTATGCTGCTGAGAATCTAACCCAAGTCTTGTAGGCACACGCTATACCATTGAGCCCCAAAACTTTGTTACTGTAAAGAGTAACTGGTATGTGAATTTATCTAAAAGCCTGGGAAACACCAAGTTAGAAAAAGAAATACCCAAAGAGAGACTTTCAAATCAGACAGGCTTAGTGTCAAACACAGGCTCCACCATTTGTTATCTCAGTCTGATCATGATATGTATTCTTTTGAAGACCAGTGTATTCATGTGTAAAATAGGATTACTTGGAGAGTAAATGAGATAATGAATGAAACAGACCATGGCACTCAATGAATCATGGGTTTTGTTGAGCTCAGTATTGTTCTGCTTATGCAATAAGCTGTAAACGTGGTTCCTCTTAAAATATTAATTCAACAATACCTTCACCTAAGCATGCACGTTTTTGCTTAAAGCTTCAAACACCACATTAAATTAAGATTTCGTCTTGACAGTTAAACAAAAGAGGCTCTTGTTCTCTACTAGGCATGTGGTGGGCACATTAAAACTTGGGGTATGTCTTGGGCAGTAAACCCAAGAATGTGCAGGCAGGCTTTTGGTCTGGATATTTCTCCTCTTCATTGTTAAAAACCAAAATGTGCCATTGGCCGCCTGCTCCTTGCGCCTGGAGGATGCAGTGTCAGCCGCAGACTTACGAATCCATTTCAAGTCAGGTGTGTTCTGGGTTATCAGAATCAGTCTTTGGCAGTAAATCACAAGTGTGTGTGTGTGCGTGTGTGTACCTGGCACAGTATGTGAACACCAGGTACAGAGAAAAACCCAGAATTTCTGATGGATGAAGGACATAGACACTGACTGGTTTAATGGAATATTTTAAAGAAATGATAAGAATAATCCTCTTAGCAAGCCTGCTAGACATGCCAGAAAGGACTGGTTTATGAACGGATAAAAGGTGTCCTAAGAGCTCAGAGCCTTCTCTCTGCACTAGAGACAGTACAGACAGACTGCTGTGCGCAGCGTGCGGGACGGCTGTGGCTCCAAGCTGCGGGGCGCGCTCCCTTGCAGCCCGCAGGCCCCTAGCACCCGGCTGTAGGGGAGCAGGCCTCCCTAGCTGGCGGCTCGAGGCTTGCGCTCGCCCTAACGCTTACGCTTATTTCATCTTCTAGACACGGCAGCGCGTCTTTCTTACCAGAATGACCCTCCGTTTGGGTCCTACGTGATGCCGGTGCGAGTTACAGACAGACTCGGCCTGTCCTCGGTCACTTCGCTGACAGTCCGGCTGTGCGACTGCGTGACCCCAGCGGAGTGCGATGTGCGCTCCATGGAGCGGCAGGGAGGCGGCGCGGTGCGGCTGGGGCCGTGGGCCATCCTGGCCATCCTGCTGGGCGTGGCGCTGCTGTTCTGTAAGTTTGTCTGTCCAGTTCAAATTACTAGCTTCACAGGAACTCTCAGCACACATTCGTAGCATCAACACTATTTCCTGTTGCCGGTCGTTTGCACGTAGCCGCATTTCTGCTTAACACACTAATGTAGTTAAAATCTTTTAAGTGCACTTACACGTAGTGCTTTTATTGTCACAGATATAAAATTTGGTATAAAACAATAGCACGTGTGGTGTATTTGTAGCCTATCCGTTCAGGGCAGACTTTTCTACTGAATACCACTTTGACACCAGCAGTCACACTTCATGTCCTAAAAAGTGGTTTTCTTTCAATACACAGTCTTATTTATGCTGCGTCTGTGTAGCGATCATTGTGAATTCATAACTTCACATCATTTATGACAGATTTAAAGAAAGTACGGGACTTCCTTTGTCCCTCCAGGTGTCCTGTTTACATTAGTGTGTGCGGCTTCGAGGGCAACCAGAGAAGTGAAAGCACTTCCCGACGATTTAGCCCAGCAGAACCTGATCGTGTCAAACACCGAAGCTCCTGGAGATGACAAAGTGGTAAGATGTCTGTGTTTTGTTTTTTCAGATGAGTGCAAGCGAGGGGTATTGGCACAGGCCCGTACTCCCAGCACCCCGTGAGGCTGAGGCAGGAGGACTGCAGGACTGAGAACCACTTGGGCAGTTTAGCAAGCTCCTGTTTCAAAATAAGAAGTGACAGCTAACTGGGCACTAAATGCAGTGTGAAGGACTTGGGTTCATTCTGCAGTCACACACACACACACAACACACACAGTCTGAAGGATGAGTTGCCAGTAGATACTCCTTCCAAAAGTACCTTTTTTGGTGCCAAGTTTTTAATTATTATTATTTTTTTATTTTATTTTCTGGTATTGGGGATTAAACTTGGGACTTTGCTCTTGCCAGGCAAGCACTTCTCCCACTGAGCTCTATCCCTAGCCCAAAGTTTTTAGCTATTAGATAACTTGCCACAAAATGGCATCTGTCTCATGGCATAGGGAAGATAAGCTTGATTCCCTGGTGATACATACTTTTCACTTTGTCCATCTGGTGTTCCTTAATGACATCCTTTCGCCTGTCATTACAGTCTATTTCAAATATTTTTTAACCTTTAACTGAGGTTTTGAGGGACTTTTTTTTTTTTTTTCCATCTACTTAAACTGTTGCTTATGCTGTAAAAAGGTTGCATTTAATTAGTCACAGGTCACCAGCGTAGTTGTTTTAATTTTTTTCTGGCAACAGTAATAAAATCACTACAGCTTTGATCTTCATGGGAAGAAGTTTAATGGACTCTTTCTGGCTGTAACGTGGGTTTCAAAACAGCCTGAAGCTGAATATCTAAAATAGCAATTTTAGGAAGTGGCTGGTCACTATGACTTTTCCTAGCCCTGTATGTAGAAGAGGAGCTAGCAGATTTCCTATAAAAACATAATTGATGATCAGAACAGGAAAGATGAGACAAAAGTGTGATGGATTTAGGAAGGAATTGGTGGGGGGGGACCCTTAGGTTACAGGAGGATGTCCTAAGACATAGACTCCTAATGGCCAAAACTTTGATGTTTCCCCTGCTCAATTCATGATTTGTGTGTGTTCAGGTTGTACGAATTTATTATTACAGCTAAGATATTTACAGCAGCTTTATTCTTCTTTAGTTGATGGAAACTGAATTCAACACTGAATAAAAGTCTGGTCAGGATTTCAGTTTCTACTGTAGTCAGGTAAAGGGACATGGATCTCAATTAAGAAAGTGAATACACATGAGAAAGAAGTACTGATTTCGAGGGGTGAGATCCAGGAAAGATGTGAGGGCTGAAGTTGTGCAGCACCCAAAGCAGCTTTTAAACAGGGAGGAGACTTCAAGCCTTTTGGTTTGTCAGCAGGTGCTAACCACTGACATCTGAATTTGTTTTGCTATGTTAGACGCTACGTTGGGATTGCGATAGTTAAGTACTCAGAATCGCCTGCCTTCAGAGAGCTTATCTCCTAGCACACAAAGTAAACCAGACATGTGCTACTCAGTGCTTTTCTATTTCTCTGTTGTTGTTCATTTCTGTATTTGTGGACATAAATTGTTTTCGTTTCAGTATTCCACAAATGCCTTCACGACCCATACCATGGGCGTTTCTGGTCAGGGAACCTGTGGTGCAGTGGGATCTGGAGTCAGAAACGGCGGGCAGGAGACCATAGAGATGGTGAAAGGAGGACAGCAGACCGTGGACGCCTACCGGGGTGCTGGGCACGTCCACACCCTGGATCGCTGCAGGGGGGGACATGTGGAGATGGAGAACTCTCGGTACACGTACTCCGAGTGGCACAATTTCACCCAGCCCCGACTTGGTGAAGTGAGTTTCTCTGTATTCTCTAAATCTATTGTGATATCTTGTAAACTTTACATAAATAATAGCCATTTCGTGTTTAGAATTTAGAATTTTGTTTTCAATTATGAACCTATTCACTGGGAAATGATTCTTTTTTTGATTCAGTTATCTTCAGATTTGAGTGGTTATTTACTTTCCCTAATATTTTCCTTGTTTTTTAGTAGTCTTCCTTACATAAAATGTTTAAATTACTCTTTCATGACTTTGTGCTGCTATTTCACACGTGTCTGCTCTGATGTTAGAGAGCAGAGGTGTGACACCGGCGACATAAGCGGGCACCATTAGTATGCCAGTCTGGGAAGATCTGAGCTCACCTCCATTTGGGTTCAGTTTTGATGGCTAGGTCTCCACTTCCAGCCATCATCTTGGATGGGGAAAGCAATAATCACTTAAAATGAACACGTGTGTACTTGGTGCCGAGGGGTGACTGTAAGAGACGTGCTTTATGCTGAATATCTAACGCGATTTTACGATAGAGACCAATCATGTGCATTTTTTACATATAGGAATCCATTAGAGGACACACTCTGATTAAAAATTAAACAATGAAAGGTAAATCAAAGCAATTATTTTTGAGGGTAAGTTTTGGTGTTTAAGATAATAATAATACAATCTGTGCTTTCCTCTTGGCAGAAGGTGCACCTGTGTGACCAAGACGACAACCACAGGCACGCTGCAGACTACGTCCTTCCGTACAACTATGAGGGCAGGGGGTCGGCGGCTGGCTCTGTAGGCTGCTGCAGCGACCGACAGGACGAAGACGGCCTTGAGTTTTTGGATCATTTAGAACCGAAATTTAGGACACTAGCAGAAGTATGCATGGAGAGATGAACAGAGTCCAGTTAGTCAACAAAAGGCAGTGGCGTTAGCATCTATCTTTTCTCCTTTTAATTACAAACCAAGAATTAAACAAACAAAACAAAACAAAACCAAAAAAAAAAAAAAGAAGAAGAAGAAGAAGATACTCTTATTTGGAGCTTTTCCCTTTTATTTTTGTGGAATCCCCTTGGCTAGAGATTCATTTTCCGGGAGACTGAATATTTTTAGTAGATCCACAGATGGAAAATGTAAGGAAATTTGTGTTATTGTTTACATTTGGACATGACAGCAGCCAACTCATAGTGCAATAAAATTTAAGCAATTTAAGTCTATAGTTACAGACTACTTGAAGCACAACCTAATGGAAGATTGTAGAGGATGCTATTTCCAGCTAACTAGTTAATTGTTCGCATGGTGCTTGGAAACTGGTTTCTCAAACATTTTAAAGTGTATATACTGTTTGCTGTTTTGTTCTTGTATCATGGCCCTTCTTCATAAAGCAAAGGGAGATTTCTGATCAGGTGTTGACTGTTATTATAATTCTGTTTTAGTAGAATTATTTTTAGGTTCTATTCTGTGTAGAATCCTGCACTGAATATATATTTTCTGTTACCTACTTAGTGAGTTTTAAATTTCAAAACTGCTTTCAGGATGCATTTTTACTCTTGCAAGTCTTTTGTCTTTGTAATGACCAATAGTCTCAGTCTCTCTCTCTCTCTTTCTCTCTCTCTCTGTCTCTGTCTCTGTCTCTGTCTCTCTCTTTTTCTCTTTCTCTCTGTGTCTTTCTCACACAGATACACATACACAATTGATTTCTTTCCTATGTGTTTAAAATCTCTATTTGGGTGAATTCAAATATTTTTAAAAATTGTCTCAGTTTTTCTCTTAAAACATGAATTATTCTTTGTTTAATGTAAGCCTATCTATTCTTGGTATTTTTTCTAAAAATCAATGGAATGTTGATTTTATTGTTTTGAGTGTCTTGGTGATTGCTTGGTTACTTCCTCAACCTTTAGTTTTACCATTAAAACTATAGAACTGTGTCATGATTTTACTAGGGACACCGTCCTGTTACCAAAAGGAATGGTGAGCTGAGCAGTAGGATGGGACATTTACTGGGTAGCAACGCATTTTTAGTTCATATCTTTAGTGCAGTTTATAGATGGAAAATAGTGATGGTTTTTTGAAATAAGCTTTGAAATTCAGGGATCTTGAATGCTATCTGAGATAACATTTTTATAACTTTTAAGATGAAATTACCACTCCTCTGTACATGTGTGTAAAGTTATTGTTACTGTTTTGTGATTACTGTTTTTAACAATGGTATGGGCCAAACTATTGAAATTTTGAAACAAGAAGACAAAATGAAACTTATCAGCCAACCTAATCCAGACCAGATTTCAAGTAAATTTCGGTCAATAAATGTCTGCTAACTATATGGATATTCTAAATGCATTTTTAATATTTAGGATTGTTAATGATGTTTATGTCACCAGTTCACAAGGTTGGCTTAAAACATTGTTCAGAGGTGCCACTAAGTAATTATTTCATAACTAATTATTTGAAACTTATTTCTTCAATTGTTTCTTTACTGCTCAATCAAAAATAAAGTCCCAGAGTTATTTTTAATAAATTATGTGTAAAATTCTTGTCTATTGCTAGTTATATTAAAGTAAATTAAAC